CCAAAAGTTCAGTTCAGTTCAGTTCATAGGAATACTAATTCGGGCAATGTCTTATTATTACAATCATATACAGTTTGATAATGTTTCAGTTAATATGAATACTAAAAAAGTGAATCAATACTGTACTAATAATGGTGTATATTTTGCCAAAGTATGTATATGTTTAAATATTGTCATAGCTGAAGCTAGAAATTAGGAACCTCGATTTAAAAATATAAATCATACCAAATTACTTATACATTTTTATTATCAAAACTAACACTAAATTCTAAGCTACTATAAATATTAAAGTATTTAAATTTCTAGTTTAAACCGTTTCAAGTTTTAGCTATGCCAGTTATTATATTTATATATATAGCAAAATATGATATTAACTTACTATTTATATTGTTAAGTTTTATTTTTTTGTTCAATAAGCATTTCAGAATTAGAAAACCCATTTGATTTAGCATTTGTTCGTTGATATGATTTTAAATATTCGAATAAATTGAAAAAATATTATTGTTCATAGATACAATTTACAAATATTTATATATTTATTCTAGTAGAGTCTCTAATTAAATTAGTTCATATAGTGCTATGCTTTAATAGTATAAATGAATATTTGGTTAATACTTTCATATTTTAGAGTAATGTAAATTTGGTTTTATACAGAATTGTATATTTAATTAGATATATAGTAGAATCATTCTACACATATATTTTATTATATACGTATAATTATTGCAAAGTCTTATTTTCATTGTAATAATAATTGAAATTAGTTGTATCAACTTTAATTAGTAGCATAATTTTAATTTAATTGTGATATAATTTAAAAGTATAATTTTGTCACAATTATATTACAAAAGATTTTTGTATTTATTTAATCTAATTTTTTGATTACAATATGTGACTAGAAGAATCAATATAGATTTTTCAAACTGGGTTGTCATCATCAGTTAGAAAAGCTGGCCACAGTTGTACTCAGTTAGCTTTAATAGTTGATATTAGTTTGCCTATATGAAATTCATATCTTTATGATTATTAAGTACTTATCGTAAAAGAAAATATAGATTAATGTGACCTTCATTTAAGGAACGAATTTAAAGAATATACATCCATTAAATAAATATATGTATGGGTTCAATGTATAATATTATAATTTAATAAAAAACCAATTTTACTATATCCCTTTTCTAGGTTGAATTAGGATTCATAAGTATCTTTATATCAGTATATGTTATAAGAAAACAATATTAAAGATTCAAAGATTTAAATTTTTTTATTAAGATAAGTTGAATTATATATGTGTTATAAAAATAATTTACACTACATTACTATCTATCTAATTATTTAAGAAAGTCAAAGATATTATTGTCTAATTCAAGTGTTATTCTACTTATTTCTTCAAAAGTATCAGGAAAAAATAGTTTATATAACTTTTCTTCTATTGGTTGGTTTGATATTCTTCCTGGTAGTTATTAACTACTTCTGTTGTTTCTTTATTCTCTTAGATAGTTACTAATTCTTAGCGTTAGTTAATACATGATAATTTGCAACTGATAGTCTGTAATACAAAAAATTCAACAGATCGAAAAGATGGATAGGCAGGAAATAACAGTTAGTTTAACTGAATATACAGATAGTTAATGTCATAGAAGCTATCAGATAAATATAATGAAAAGCTGCCAAAACAGAATTACTAATAAATCACAATGATTGTTTAAATTTGTTAAAAATATTTTATTACGAGATTGTGCTCCAGATTAGGATATAAATAAAATCTGGTAGTTTGGAACTTAAAAAGTTTTTGCTAGTTTTAACAATTGTGTTGTAACCCAAATTTATGTTATGCATTATGGGCTAGAGTGCTTGTAAGAAAAATAATTGAATATTGTCTAGTGATGCAGGAGAATTATTTCCACAATCATAAAAATAATTCTTCTGCACTATCAACTACGCTATATTTATTTCGTAGAGTTGATCCTTAAAGTTTTGAATATGCAAAAAGAAATAAGCACAGGTTTTGATTTCAAATTTAGTTTGAAATATCGGTAAATATTAATAGTTCTTTTTAATATTGTTCTATTTTAAATACTTGTGATTAATCGAAGAATATATTAGGATCTCATAAGCAATATTAAAAAGCTAATCCAAAAATTCAAAATTCAGGTTTTGCTATTCTGAATGACTATGTGATAATCTGACAATTAATTAGTCGACTTTTCTAAATTACTGAAATATAATCGTTAAATATATATATAAGAAATGGTAATGATGATAATAAAAGCAATAATACTAATGATTTACATTATAAAGTCGAGTTTTTGCCTTTTATTTATTTATTTATATCTTTGTTTATTTGTGCTATATTAAAGACAAAAAAAAAATCAAAATTTTGCTAATTTTTCAATTTTCTAGTGCTACTTATATGAATATATACAAGATTATATTGTGCTCACAACTATCAATATTAATTCATATATAGATATTAACACTAAATAAAGCCTAAAGTGTTTAATCAGAAATTTACAAATATGGGCTCAAAAAAGTGAAAATAATTACAAATACGAGCCCAAATTACAAATAATTACATATAAGGGTCTAATTTTTATAAATATTAAATATAAGGCCAAATTTATTGATAGGTACTTATGAAATTACTGTGCTACAAAGTACTATGACTATTTGACTTATAACGATTGCAAAATTGCAATTATAGAATCATTAATTATTTTATTATAAGTATTTAGAGTTATCTGTATATCGATTATTAGACAAAAAGATAAATGAAGTGCTGGTTATAATAATTTTCGCTATTAAATTAGCACAATTATTTATAAGATAAAGAAGTTTCAATAGAGTGGCCCTCTAGAGCTGGACGAACATATTCAATATTAGTAAATGTTATACCAATTCGCGATACTTTGTTATACCAATAAATTTAAAAAAAAATTTTTTTATTTATAATTACTAATTTATAATCAATAGTTATATTTTTTATGCACTTAATAACTACATTTATCGATGCTTACATTTCTTATACTAATAACAGGCTTGAATGACATCATGGTTATTTTGGGCCTTATATGTAATATTTTTTAAAAATTAGACTCTTATATGTAATTATTTTTAATTTGGGCCTGTATTTGTAATTATTTTTACTTTCTGGGCCCTTATTTATAGGTTCTCAAAAAATTATAATACAGTGTATATGAAATTACCTGATTAAGAAAAATATATTTTAAAAAAATAATTTAAATAATACAGTTGCTTCTTTATTAGTGAAGTTCTATAGCAAAACTGTATTGATATGAAGTAAATAAAGTATAAAATAAAGAAAACATAATAATAGTTATTTAATATGTTAATTAATTAATCAAAATATTTATTGTAATATTTAATTTATAATGTTATATATCTAGTTATATATTTTGTTAATTATTATTAAATTTTAATATTTAACTTTTTAAATAAAATAACTTGTTAATTATTGTTTTTTAGATTTCCTGATGAATTTCTTTAAAAAAATCAATTTTTTTAAAAAAAAATTTATATATTATTAATAAAAAGTTTTTTAAAGATTTCTTAAAAACTACAAGACTAATTTTAATATTCTTACCACTATTAGATATATCTTGATGAGCTCTACAACTTTTTTTTTTTGATATTAAGATAACCTCTCAGTCATATATCTTTATTCGGTTATAGTTATAATTTTTACAATATGAATTTCATACCATATACATATTTAGAGAGTACAACTAGTCATATATACAACTTTTGGTTACCTATTTAAGTAGTCTACTTATTATTAAGTTCTACACTAGATGTTATATCTATATCTGACTAGGGGGTTATCTATTTAAACCCTCTGCATTTATATGATTATACTGTTAACTGAGTAAAAATCTAATATGGTCCCTTAGTTTCAAATACCGATTTAGAACTTTAAGACAGGCTCTTTGCCCCCAAGAGCCCTTTATCCTTGAGGTAAACTTGCTAAAGCCTTTTGTATCTACAATCTAGCTGATCTAGTCTTCAGTTGATATACACAGGCTAATGCCTGCACTTGCATCTTAGTTTTTATATTGAATACTATGGCCTGATCGCTACTACACAACGTATTTCTGCCTTTATAGAGTTTACTCAAACTCTGGTATACATATTACAGACTATCTATAGTATCTCCAACTATCTCAAACTACCAATTCAGATAGTCCAGAAAGGCTGTAACCTGCTTCTGGTCTCTACGGTTAGGTTTTTTTCCTCCAGTTACTCCTCTGGTAGCCTGGTTGGTAGAGTGCCTTTCCAAAACTTCAGTCCCATTCAGTTTTGCCAGTTCTTCTGATGAATAATCCTTTATGTAATACTGTCAAAGATCTGTACTACTTCTCTATTTGGGACTTGCCAAGCAAATATCTTACCGCTATATCAGTTCTGTGATTTTTTGCAATTCGAAGACCTATTTGTATAACTTATATATTATACAAATACCTCAAGATCTTCTAGTTTCGTTGAATTGGTATGATCACAGTTACAGTGTTCCAAGTTTTCCTGGCTATGACAATAGTTACCAAATCTGTTTTTCGAAATTCAATTTTCGTCTATAGTGGGAATTAAACTTGTACTCAACTGCTTGAGATACAACAACTTTGCTATTTCACTAAGTCACCACACCTCTCTATAACTTTTGTTAAAAGCTTAAAAGTGATTTACTTAGTAAAAAAAATTTAAATTGAAGTATTTTATATTTGGCTTACTAGTAATATTTATTTATAAAAATTTGCAAACTCTCTTCAGATAACAAATAGATTGTCTATTAAACTATTATCTCTTAACTATATTTCAAACAAATTATCTAGAAAATTTAATTGTATTTAGTATTTTTTAAATAAAACAAAAATTCATTAATAATATGGGATATAAAACTAAAAAAAAATTTTTGCTTTTAATATAAGTCTAAATTTTTATAAGTAAATTATAAAAGTTGTAATAATAAAAAATCTATTATTATAGGGTTTGGGTCCCATAGCTTATTGGTTAAGCTCCCAAACCCCACAGACAAGGTCAACGGTTCGAGTCGGGCTGG